TATTTTTTTAATTTTAATTGTATCAGTGTATTGCTGATTTTGATCTTCCCCGTAGTTCCCTATATAAAAATAATGAGTTTCTCAGTAACAGGTGCAATAGCTTTTAAAGAGAACTTGGGCAAAATATAATGGAAGCCATAAATAACCAGAAAGTAAATGAAGCAAAATTGTGTAGTATGATATTTGCCAAAAAGCAATATCCTTCCATAAAGTTTCAGATTCTTTTTTTAAAGATTCTATTTATTTAGTGTTTTTTAATTTTTATTTTTAGAGAAAAGAGGGAGGGAGAAGGAGAGAAATATTAATGTGTGAGAGAATCATTAGTTACCTCTTTCATGCCCAAACTGGGGATCTGGCCTACAACCCAAGCATGTGCCCTGACATAGAATCGAACTAGCAACCTTTTGGTTCCCAGGCCAGTGCTCAGTCCACTAAGCCACATCATCTAGGGTTGGTGTTATTTTTTTAACAATATCTTTCAGGTGATTCATTTCTTCACGTTCATGAGCAAATTATTCTTAACTATCAGTCCATTTGAGCCAGCCAACCATATCATTTTCATAGCTTTCTTCTTTGGTAAATCTTGTTTTTTCATGGCCGTATCAGTCAGGTATACAATCCCTGAGGCAGCCTCACCAGCTCTGTGAAATAGTATTGTTGACCAGACAGTTTTTTCTTGGTTATGTTCTTGTCTTGCAAGGACACCTGCAGCTACAACAGATGCTGTTCCTTGAGTAACATCATTGAACATGCAGTACTGGTTTTGATACTTGTTGAGAAGACAAAATGCATTTATATTGGTGAAATCTTCAAATCGAATAACACAATTCATGGCATACTTGGAAGAAACTAGCTCCATGAATTCATCCTAAAAACCATCATATTCAGGACCTCTCACTCTTCTCTGCCATCATCCAATGTACAATGGATCTTTAACTCTTCATTTAATCTTTTCACATCTAGAGTGACAGGCATACATTCTTGAGGATTCATCCCTTACAAGCTATATACAGAACCAGCTTACCCATAGGGATGTCCATTCCATTACAGCCAAAGTCTCCCAAGCCAAGAATATGCTCTCTGTTGGTCACCACAGTAGCCTTGATGGTACTTTCTGGCTATGCAGTAAAAAGTTGAAGCAATATGCCCTTTATCATGGATACTAATAAATAGTCCTCTTGGCTTCTGAAATGCTAAACTATATAGCTGTCTAGCCAGATCCACAGTGGGGGTATAAACACTAAGCATGAATTTCTCAATGTCAGACATTAGCACTCTATACAAGAGCTTGTCATTTTTATTTTGAAGATCCATTAACTGAGGATACCTGATACCTGTCAAAGTCAGAATTCAGATGCTCAAAATTTTTAATTACTCTAAGAAACCAGATACCCTGACTGATGAAGCAGGGTGACAATTCATGAATATTCCATTGTTGCCTCTGTTCCAGGTTAAAAGCCAAGTTCTTGTTGAAGTGGAGGTTCTGCTTCACATGTCTTGGTCACAGTGGTGGGTGTGGTCTCTGCAGCGGGGCTTCAGGCCCTGTGGTGGGTGGAAGGTGAGGTAGCGGGGTCTGGCCAGAGCCCTCTTATTCTACTATTTGTCTTTGAACCCGTTTCTGTCACAGGACTCCTAAAATCCTTAGAAATTCCTAAGTGGTAGGAATATTAGGAGCACCTTTTGTTTTAATGAGGTGACTTTGAGTCGGATCCTGGGTCAGGGCTAGTCACCAAAAGGATCAGGCCCTAATTAGAAACTTGGAATTTTCAACCCAACTCCCCATTTTCCAAAGAGGATGGAGTTAATAATTGGTCATTCCTACATGAGGAATCCTTCAGAAAATCCCAGTAATCCAGGGTTCAAAGAGATTCCAGGTTGGTGAACAGTTAGAAGTATGGGGAGAATGACATACCCAGGGAAGACATGCAAGCTCCATGCCTCTTCCCTCATACCTTGCTTTACATAGCTCTTTAATCTGGATGTTCATCTGTATCCTTATCATATCCTTTAATAAACTGGTAAACATAAGTAAGTGTTTCCCTTAAGTTTTGTGAGCTACCCTAGCAATTAATCAAACTTGAGGGAGGGGATCTTAGGAACCTCTGATTTTTAGCCAAATTCAACATGTTATGGGTAACCTGGGGACATACTGCTTGTGATTGGTATCTGAAGTAGAGTAGGGATGCTCTTGTGGGATTAAGCCCTCATCCTAGGATCTGACACTATGTACAGATAGTTTTAGAATTGAGTTAAATTGTAGGACACCCAGATGGTGTCACAGAGAATTGCTTGGGGGCAGGGGTGGGTAAACCTCCAAACATTTGGTGACCACAGATATCAAAAGTGAATGAAAAAACTGGCCTGTTTCTCTAAACAAGAACATAAAAAGCACTTTACATTGTATATAATACTCTGAATAATTTTCTAGGTAGGCCAACTACTGTGTGTCTTTTTTTTTTTTTTTAATAAGATTTTATTTATTTATTTTTAGGGAAGGGAAGGGAGGGAGAGGGAGAGAAACATCAATGTGTGGTTTCCACTTGATCGCCCCTTACTGGATACCTGGCCCGCAGCGTAGGCATGTGCCCTGACTGGGAATTGAACCGGCAGCCCTTTGGTTCGCAGTTCAGTGTTCAATCCCCTGAGCCACATCAGCTAGGACTAATGTGTATCTTTTTTTTTTTTTTTTTAACAGAAATTGTATTAAGTTTTCATGTGGGCTTATAATCTATAATAAAAACTTAGATGAGATATTTTTTCCAAAGTTAAGACATTTGGAATAATATTCCAGTTAAAGGTGTTTTATTTCAGTTTGTATAGGTATAGCCTTTTAACTTGAGGAATTATAGAAAGATTAAGATTAAAAAAAGGTCTTTATCATACATTTATTAAAAGCACAATTACCACAGTTAAATCAGTCAGCTAATTTTTTATTTACTGCTCTTTAGTTAAGCAATCTACTTTCACAAAATCATTTGTTTTCTGGCTTAAAATGTCTTGAAAATTATAACTTTGTCCCATTTTTACAGTCTGACAGGTGTCTGCCTGAGGTGAGGCTGTTAGCTAATACAGGGAAATCTATACCCATAAATCTATTTCATGTAGTATCACTAGTCAAAAATAACTGCTGCAGTTATTTACTAAGGCCATATTAATGTTTCTTCTAGCACTCTCAGTTTTTGCTTATAGCTGTGGCTTTTAGGCAATTGTATGTTAAAAATCACAGTCAGGGCACATGCCTGGGTTGCAGGCCATATTGCCAGTATGGGGTATGCTAGAGGCAACCATACATTGATGTTTCACTCCCTCTTTTTCTCTCTCCCTTCCCCATCTCTCTAAAATAAGTAAATAAAATCTTTTTAAAAAATCAGAAACCACCTTTAGGTGATAAGAGTAAATGGCTTTGGTTAATGTATTATAATTGCTAATAACATTATATGAATGGAAATGGGATAATTTTTAAATCATTCATAAAATATAACCAAAAGTTAACTCAGAGAATGAAGGCATATTATAGAAATTGAAGGCACTAACAATTCTTCAGACCCTTCTAACACATCCAATAAAATGTGTGTTATGATAATCACCAACACAATGGTAATCAAACCCAGGGAAAAATATCATTCTTGATAAAGAGGATGAAGTTTTGGTAGTTGTTCCAACCTAGTATAGGAACATTAATACACTTTTCTCCAACTTTAAAAGTACACAGTAGCTAGAACATATTCACATTAATAAAATATCACAAAAATAAAATATTACAAAAATTTTTTTAAATATTTTCTTATTCTCACCTGAGGACATGCTCATTGATTCTAGAGAGAGGTTAAAGAAGGGAGACTTGAAGAGAAACATCCATGTTATTAACATTGATTGCTTGCCTCTTGTACCTGCAACCTAGGCATACGCCCTTATTGGAAATCAAACCCACAGACCTTCCATTTATGTGACAGCGCACCACCAAACTGAGCCACACAGGCTAGGGCAAATATTACTTAAATTTAGTTAACCTAAAGAAACTCTTTTTGATTTGCAGAGTCTTCTCATATTGTGTGTTTGACAGACAGGATAGCTGTTAACAATGGTAATGTGAGCATTAAATCTGGAACCTGCCAGAAGTCCCCTCATTCCCTATTTTATAAGGTGTGGGAGCAAGCCCTTGATGTGACTCAGCAGCTTCTGGTAAACTTTTAACATAGTTTGAGTGTAGAAGGTATAAGGCTTCTCTCTCATTCTTGTTCACTTGTTTGTTCTAAGTGATTTCTCCACGATTTAATTATAATTTGAGATTGGTCCTGAAAGTAGGTTAGTGTGGCTTCCATGTACTCCTCCACCATCTTCTAAAAAGAATAGTAATTATATAGGAGCTGAGCAAGAAACCAAGGTTTTCATTTTGAATCTTCTTACCAGTTAATAAAATTAAGGCAAGTCACCTAATCTCATAGAGCATCTGTTTTCACATTTCCTCTTCCCTACTTCACAGGATTAATAATAATCCTGTGAAGTTTATAAATTATAAATTAATTTATAAACTTTAAATTGTTAACAAAATACAAGGTAACCATGGTCAGATATGAAATTGAGAGTTTTTCAGGAAAAGTGTTGGAGAATGCTGACAAGCCTCTTCCTATGAAAGTATTTAGTATCTATCCCCTAAAAAAACAGTCATTTAAGAGTTAAATTGGCCCTAGATGGTGTGGCTCAGTGGATTGAGTGCTAGTCCGCGAACCAAAAGGGTAGCCAGTTCAATTCCCAGTCAGGGCACATGTCTATGTTGTGGGCCAGGTCCCTTATTGGGGGCATGAAAGAGGTAACTAGTGATTCTCTCACACATTAATGTTTCTCTCCCTCTCCCTCCCTCTCTTCTCTTCTCTCTAAAAATAAATAAATAAAATCTTTTTTTTTTAATGCTCCTGATAGAATAATCTTTTTTCTAAATATGACCACAGGAGAAAATGTTACTAACTCTGACTGTATGTGTGTGTTTTTTTTAATCATAGCCCAAAGAGCCGATTGATGCAATTAAAGAAAGAGAAGCTGGAATACTCTCCAGGAGAGCATGAATATGGGTTATTCCCAGCCCCCATTCATGTTGGTGAGTATCGGTATACACAATGTGTTGCTGAGAAAAAACGATATTTCTTGAGTTTGGGTGAAATGCTTTTGTGTTCTCATTGTTATGTATCTGCAGTGTGGTTAAGCTCATTTCTTTACCATTTAATGTATACTTAACTGTGAAGGATTCTGCAAACTCTCTGCTATCTAGGAGTCAAAAGAGGCATAAATCTTACTCACTGGAGTTTCAATAAACAACTTTATCTGTAGAAAGCCCCACTATTCATCAGTTCAATTTAAAATGTTTTCTATGTCCAAATGAAGTAAGATGATTTATGGATATGTAATAATCAAAGTAAGAAGTCCTGCTGTTTCTCCTGATCATTTATCTGCTTGAAAATTGAGCAAGATTTATCTTTCTTTTTCGAGGGGTGGGGGGAGAAAATGTCAAGACTTTGCTTCATATTCTGGTAATAGTACCTTCTAGAATCCTACTGTGAAGCTTATCAGGTAAGTAAAAAGTACCTAGAAGTCATTCTAAATTCTTCTGTTTTCGATGGACTCCAGTCCATCTCCAAGTTTTATTATTTCCATCCTTGAAATACTTCCTACTCTTTTGAAATTCCATTGCTATCACTTAGGTCCAAATACATCAGTATTACCTTTTGATTGGGCTACTGCATTATGCAGTAGCCTTCTGTCAGATCTGTTGACTTCTATTCTTGTTCCCTTCTAATCCACTCTCCACAGAGTTATAAAGAGAAATGATTTTATAACTTAAAGAGATCAAACTGTTCAGTGGCTTAAACATTCAGTGGCTGACCATTGGAGTAAACTACAAACCCCTTATTCTGACTTTTAAGAATGACCTGGCCCCTCACTACACATTGCTCCCTATATTTCTCTTCCTGTCTTTTCCTTATTAGCTGTGTTATGTCATGCTGATCGTCTTTCAAATTGTAGAACAAAGCAAGCTCTTTTCCACCAAGAAGATCGATTGTTATGCTTATCATTCCCTTTTCCTGAAAATCTCTTCTTCAGGCTCTTCTCATGAGTGATTTCCTCGTATCCTTTAAGGATGAGCTTAATGTCATTATCAGCCTAAATATCATTTTCTTTAAAATTGTTTGTTTTTCCTGATTGTCCCACCAAAGAAGGTCCCTCCCTTTATTTTACATCACAGGACCTTGTTTTAATCTATAATTACTATATCTGTTATCTGTCTCCTACATTATATTATAAGCTCCATGAGTACAGGATCATTTGTCTTTCTTATTCTCCTTTGATTTCCCAGTGTGTAATACGTAACAGAAGTTTATCAACTATTTGTATGACAAATGAAAGAAAAGGAGGAGAAATTATATTAAATTTCTGAATATAGATGACAGTTTTTTCTCAAGAACAACTTACTTGGGCAGTATGTCCTATGCTTTGTAGTGTTCTCTTCAACCAACCATGACTCTGGAGCTCTTCTCTGGGTTATGATTTGCTAATCCCCTTTTTCTCTCTAGAGGGCCCAGCTCCAGGAGGATATTTGAAGCAGCAAGTTTACATGAGTTTTGCAATAAAGATTAGTTACTGTGTATTGTGTGACTGGACAATGGTATAATGACAACATAGAGTTATAAGACTTAATTCTCAGTTAACTATGCTACTGTTCACTTAATGAAGATAAGTGTTAAGTTTTATATTCTGTAGGAGCATTGCCAAAAGTTTGATTTTGTTTTTGTTATGAGATCATATCAGTGGAAGCAGATTCTTAGCAGATTTAGCTATTTTCTAAAACCTGCTAATAATAAATAGAATTTGAAATTAAGAAGTAATTTAAAATCCTGTTAAAGGAAAACATACCCATTTTGGTCTTACTGGTTTTGTCTTGTTTAGGAAATTGGCTTAGATCATGAATGAAGCTCTAACTATTTAATGGGATGTAGGAGTCAGTTAATTCCCAGGGAGACGGAGGGAATTAATGATAGATGAATATTTCGGTCATGTCTCTGGCATGAATAGTGGTTAAGAGATCCAGAATGTAAATTCCTTACTTAAAGGTTTTTATCCCTGCATTCTCACTTTATCTCTCACTAAGACTAATTTGTACCCAGTGTTTTACAAAGTGATAAATCATGGTAAAAAGTATCCAAATAATGGCTCTTTTTTCCTGTGAAACAAGACTTTAAATTAGACTGTTAGAGGATATAATTATTTTTCTGGAAAGCGCTATTGTGTTTTTCAAATAATTCTTTACAATAGGATAGGGAGAGTGGCCCCTGAATTGTTTCAACACATCACTTCCAATATCATGTAAACAAAGTGTATGACTCTGAGTCCACAGACCTATGTTTATCTCTATGTTTGCTATACTAATTGTATAAACAAAACTAAACACATCTGGACTTCCGGCCAAGATGAAGGCATAGGTAGATGCTTCCTAGCACAACCAAAATAAGGACAACAACAATTCAGAAAGAAAATAACAACCAGAACTGACAGAAAATTGAACTGTATGGAAGTCAAAACAACCAGGGAGTTAAAATAGACACATTCATCCAGACCGGTAGGTGGGGTGGAGTGGGGTGGCCGAGCAGAGAGGGGTCAGGGCAAAAAAAGCGGTGGCACTGAGCACTTAAGGCATCCTGGTGCTCAAGATGGCAGCAGGCTGACCCTGGGTGTACAGGTGGTGGCTGGAAGACCTAGTAAGGCAGGGATTGTGAATAAAGGCACTGCACGCAAGGTGGCTGGCTGACTGACGGTCCCACATTTGCACGCACATTAACCATGCGAAACTGGGGAGCGAGACAGACTGAGCAACCCAGGGTCCCAGTGCAGGGAAATAAAGCCGCAAAACACCGATGAAAAACACCTGTGGGGGTTGAGGTGCCAAGAGACACTCCCAGCCTCATAGAGAGTTCATTGGAGCGACCCACAGGGTCCTAGAATGTACACAAGCCCACCCACATGGGAATCAGCACGCAAGAAGCCCAGTTTGCTTGGGGGAAGCAGCGGAAGGGACTGAAATCCAGTAGAGAGTGGAGCAAGCGCCATTGTTCACTCTCGGATCCTTCTCCCACATACTGTGTCACAGCCCATCAACATGGGTTGCCGTGATGAACACCTAAGGCCCTGCCCCTTACTACGTAACAGGAGCACCAAGACAAATAAATGGCTCAAATATAAGAGTAGATCAAAACTCCAGAAAAAATACGACTAAGTGATGAAGAGACAGACAACCTATCTGGTGCACAATTCAAAGCAGTGGTGATCAGGATGCTCACAGAATTGGTTGAATTTGGTCACAAATTAGATGAAAAAATGAAGGCTACACTAAGTGAAATGAAGGAAAATGCACAGGGAACCAATAGTGATGGGAAGAAAATTGGGACAAATCAGTGGAGTGGACCAGAAAGAAGAAAGAAACAACCAAACTCAAAAGAATGAAGAAACAAGAATTTTAAAAAATGAGGAGAGGCTTAGGAACCGCCAGGACATCTTTAAACATTCCAACATCCAAATTATAGGGGTACCAGAAGGGGAACAGGAAGAGCAACAAGTGGAAAAGTTATTTAAACAAATAATAAAGGAGAACTTCCCCAATCTGGCAAAGGAAATAGACTTCCAGGAAGTTCAGAGAATCCCAAAGAAGTTGGACCCAAGAAGGAACACACCAAGCCATCATTACATTAGCCAAGATTAAAATGAAGGAGAGAATCCTAGAAGCAGCAAGAGATAAGGAGCTAGTAACCTACAAAGGAGTTCTCATCAGACTGTCAGTTGATTTCTCAAAAGACACCTTACAGGCAAGAAGGGGCTGGAAAGAAGTATTCCAAGTCATGAAAGGCAAGGACCTCCATTCAAGATTGCTCTGTCCAGCAAAGCTTTCATTTAGAATGTAAGGGCAGATAAAGTGCTTCTCAGATAAGGTCAAATTAAAGGAGTCCATCATCAAGCCCTTATTTTATGAATGTTAAAGGGACTTATCTAAGGAAAAGATGATAAAAAAACACATACAGTAAAATAATGTCAAACTCACAATTATTAACAAGCACACCTAAAACAAAAACAGACTAAGCAAACTACTAGCACAGGAGGAGAACCATAGAAATGGAGATCATATGGAGGGTTATGAACAGCTGAGTGGGAGGGGGGGAAGATACAGAGAATAAGTAGCATAGATGGTAGGTAGAAAATAGATCGGAGAGGGCAAGAATAGTATGGGAAATGAAGAAGCTAAAGAACTTGACAAATGGACATGAGCTAAAGGGGAATGTGGGTGGGAGAGGGTGTCTGGGGTGGAGGGGAATGAAGGGGGGAAAATGTGACAACTGTAATAGCATAATCAATAAAATATATTTTTTAAGAATTCATCTTACCAGTGATGAGGTAACATTCAATTAATGGAAAGTAATATTTATTTTTAAATGTTTCACAAACTCAGTTTTCATTATCATTACAAAATGTATTTTATGATATACTAATTTATCAAAATGTGTATCGCACCCTTGAATTTATGGTCACCTGGTTTTTTATGAGTGCCACAATGGTTCAGTGAGGAAAAGCATGATCTGTTCAACAAATAGTTCTGTCATAATTTGATATATGTGTGGTCAGCATTTTAATGTATATATTTAGTCTTCTTTTGGGCTGAGTTGTGAGGATTAAATGATACTTATTTTGTACTTAACACAGAGTGAATACCCCTTCCCACTGACTTATTATATTCACATACTCAGTGTCAGAACACCAAAGCCACCCCACTCATTTCTATTAAACTGAGGTAAAAGTAGAATGAAATGGTAAAGAATAGTAATCAATAAAATATTAAGCAGAGCTTTGAAAAGAGCAACAAAATTCATGATCTCTAGCTATACCAATCAAGAGAAAAGTAAAAGATTACACAAATTACTAATATCCATGCAATAGGTGCTACTGCCATTAAGAGGCTAATAAGGAAATGTTCTGAATAACTTTATGCCAGGACATTTAACAATACAGTGGAGAAGTTCCTCTGAAAATGTTACTTAAAACTGATGTAAGATGAAATAA